ATTTTTTCTAATTCTGTTAGTTCTTTATAAAAACCCTGTAATTTAACATCTTTCTCATATCTAGAATGTATCTGCACAACTATTTTAATTCCTCATGGTCCTCTGGTACCCTGCCTGATTTGTAACTCCAACTTGCAGGTATTTCTAATCTAATGATTGGTATTTAGGGCAGCTTTTTGCAAGCAAAGAAGCTTTTTGTATTTTTGGACAGGTAATCCTTGATTTATAGTAGTTCATTTAGTGACCATTGAAAGTTACTATGAAAAAAGTGACTTATGACTGTTCTTTACACTTACGATCACAAGAGGCTAGGTTAGGTGAAGCCCTCCTCAACATGAGTGACCACTCCCACCCAGTCACATGCCCATCCAGCTATGCCCACCCAGCCATGCCCACAGAACCAGTAGTAAACAAATTTGAATCCCACCACTGTTTATATCCCATATTTTGTTCAGGCTAAAATGGATTTTTTTCTCCCTAGACCAATCTAGAGTCCTGTTCCCCTTAAGTTCTTTATAACTCGCACCTTGGGCTGATTCGTTTGGCCACAACGATAATGTCACTTAGGCTTGCTGGATACTTCATTTGAGCGCCTGACCCCATTGTCATGGCAACAAGCTTCTCGGTGAGAGTGTGGCAGATCTATTCAGAAAGTAAGATAAGTATTATTTATGTGAGGTGGGTTTGTCTGCTACTTAATTGTACTTACTACTTACATGTGTTCCTGTGGACTGTGCACCTTCTATCTTCACATTATGATTTTGGGGAAAAAATCAGAAATGTACCTTTAGGATAGCAATGCAGTGAGAAACCAGGCCCCTAAGGAAAAAGAAAATAGCAGCAAATTAGAGAAGTACTTCACCAAAAGTCCTCTACTTGGACTCTTCCATGATTTTCTGGTCTTCAGTTTTCTGGCGTTCAGTTTTCCTATTTAGACACACAATTTTTTGTTTCTGAGCATTCTGCAGGACATTTTGTTCTCAGCTCACTTGAATAATTTGGCTCTTGTCAAGTTGACAAGTTTCCCTTCAAGAATTGATTAAACAGAACATCAACGCACATTGTGCAGTGTGGTGGCACAGTAGTTAGAATACAGTATTGCAGGTTAATTCTGCTGACTGCCGATTGCCAGCAGTTCAGCAGTTCAATTCTCACTGGCTCAAAGTTGATTCAGCCTTCCTTCATTCAGAGGTTGGTAAAATGAAAATCCAGATTGTTGGGGGCAACATGTTGAATCTATAACCACTTAGAGAGGGCTGTAAAACACTGTGAAGTGTATATAAAAGCTATTACTATTACACACCCTCACTGTCAACTTTGAGATGGATTGGACCAGTCACAGCCAATTTTCTCCTTTCCCAGCTTGACACACTTTGGAGGGATGAGGGAACTTTGGAATGTAAAATCAGACATCAACAACTTCCTTTCTCATGGGAACCAAGGTCATCCCCTCAGGTGCTGGTCAAAACCTGGAAGAGGTTACCAAGGAAGAGATACCCAGAAAGCCTAACTGAACAATATGACCTATGACAAAGAGGGAGAGAGCTGTCTAATCTTTAATTGTACAGAAAGCACGAGAAATAGCCAGAGCTGGTTTTAAGACCATCCATGCCAAAATGATGTACTCAATAAAACAATTTTTTGAGGAAACTGAAAGTTCTTGGAGTGCTGATTCATTGGGTTGTCAGTTGAAACCTTAACAATGAACTAGCTCTCACTAGAGAATTGAAGACATTCATAGACATGGGTGCACCCAATGCTTAATGAAGCTGTCCACAATTCTGAAGCTAGGAATACGAATGAGGAAATTGCCCCAGTCCATGAAGTTCGAGCAGATGGACTAGTCCCTAATAGGAAGCTCCCCCACAATGCACCTGATTGAGTCTGTATGATTGTAGATAGGCAAGCATCATAAGATCATCTGGTTCATAATAGTGCTGAAAATGATGGAGGTAGTGATTCTGGGAATGTCCTG